ACCCCTTGTTCAGCTTGTAAGGGAGTCTGAGTCTTACAGCTCTGGAGCTGCAAAATAGCCTGATTTATCGGGAAGCCAGGCTATACCTAGAGCTGCAAGAGGACAGCTCTTGAGGGCAGAGCCACAATAGGACAGCTCAGCCCTGGAGGGAAAGGTCCCGACTTGTCAGGAAGCCAGGCTACTTGAAGCTGGGGTGTGGAGGGGGAATAGTCTCTTCACAGGCTAAAGCAATCATGCTCCTCTGGTAGAGAGAGCAGTTATAGCTGAGCTTTGTTCTGTTCCCCTAAGGGAATGTCCTGGCAGAACTATCTGCTTCTTCTGCCAGAGATGTTACTTCTTCTGCTATTTTCCACTAAAGGGGAAGCCCCTGCAGAAATGTAGCAGTCTTCTCTGACTCCCGGGAAAAGCTGCTACTCTATGCTCCGCCTTGCTCAGCCCCCCTTACCGGAATGTCTCAGCAAGTTTTTTCTATTTGCACTGGTGAATGAAATCTTCACCCAAAACTCATTTGAGATAGAGATTTATTCGGGAAGGAGTCCAACAGAGTGGCTGACTCTGCCAGTGTGGAAAAGGATATCCAGCTACTGAACAGGCAGAGGGGCTTATATAGGCTTCTTAGGGTCAGGGTTTTCCCAGAGAGTAGTTTTTCTACTCAGGGATTGGCTAGTTTTCCTGTTCAGGGACTGGATAGTTTAGTTGGTCAGAGACAGAGTTGGCTCTGGTTTCAGGCCCAAATTGTTTCTTTCACTGGCTCAGGTTTCAGATCCTGGGTGTGTTTCTTTAACTGGCTCTGGGTTCAGAGTCAGAGAGGGTTTATTTGGCTGGCCCTTTTGCCCTATACAGCAGCTATTAAAACTAGGGTCGTTTTGTTTTGTTGTACAACTCCTGCTAAGGAGGTTATCTGTTTGGAGAGACTCAAGGCTGTTTGTGGCTATGGCTTGTATAGAGCCAGAGAAATTCCTCAAGTTCATATAGATGGTCTAAGGGATAATCATCGCCTGTAAAGGATGAGCTAATGCAAGGGCTATTGATCCCTTGACATCAGAGAATGGTAGGGGAGCTAGCACAGATTATTTTATTAACTGTGATGTTGGAAGAGTACCTGGGATCTGATTTAGAAGAGGGCTCCACAAGGCAGAGGTGGAGAGAAGTCAAAAGGGGAGGTCACGGAGCTTTTGTAGGAAGGGAGGTATTGGATTACCTTGTAAGGATATATCAAGAGGAACAGCTGCAAGAAATGGCCAAGAAAGTGAAACGTAGATATTACAGTGATTTTTGTCTGTGCTGTGGTCTGAGTCAGTGTTGGTTTGAGAGGAGGGTTTCACATTCTAACCAGAATGGGTCATGGAGTTCCCTGGAGAACCTGGGAGATGGGAAAGAGGAAGAGGCCAGGCCAAGGGCTTGCGTGGATTTTTTTCATGTGGAGGAAGTGGCCGGTGGTGGTGGTGTTACTGTCACTTGCAGTTCTCTCAGGTTTGTATTCTATATTTATCCCCAGGCTTTATTCTTAATAAACGATAAAAGAAGTCGCAGTATCTGGCACCCATTATTATCAGTGCTGAGGTTGTATAAAACTGATAGACCGCAGCCGTGGCAATTGTGGTGGTCACTTTAGTCTCACTTCCAACCATGCTACCCTCTGAGGCACAAACCCCGGCTCCTCACAGGTCATCCACCAGTCTGCTGAACCCCTCGCAGGGCCACCAACCTAGGCAAGCTCAGCCACCTTGAGACCCGCTCAGGGCTCAGACCCTCAGGCTTGCTGTCATTGCTGCAAGCTGCCAAGGTTAGCCACCCCATTGCTGCTACCAGCAGGCGGGGAAATCCTGTCCCAAGCAGCAGCAGGTGCCTCCAGCCAGGCCTATGGAGCCCAGCAGCAGGCAGCTACTCCTCTAGGCCGATTCTGCTGCGCACGCGTCAGCGCCAGGGCAGAAAGCTAGTCCGGCTACCTTGGCCAAACCCGCAAAGCTGCAGGCCAGCTGCGGGTCACCACTGCTGCCCGGGCTGGAGTGCGTTAGCTCCTAGTTGGTTCCTGCATTTCCTTGTGCTGAGCCAGAGCGGCTGGCTTCTCTTGCAGTTGAATCTCTAAGTAACAGCTCCCTCTATTGGTCACACCAAGACTGGACAATAGCTAGATCCCCTGAGACTTGATCATTGTCTCAATTTTCACGGAGTCATCTAAAGATGCCAGCACCCCATGTCAACAGAAAACAGTCTAGAAAACACAATGCCCACATTCCAAAGAGGTGGGATGGCGAGTTTTTGGCTGTTCAGATTATGGATGTTCGTCATGTTTAGGGGGGTTGGTTCCAAGTTGTTACTGACCATGATCAAGAAAGTCTATTCAAAGGAGGTTAGATTCAGGGATCTTTCTGAAAAGAAAAAGGGGGAATATAGGAATAATAGGGAAAAAGATAGATTACTGAATCTACTTTAATCCTAAAAATAACTATTAATCTCAAAAGTTTACATTGGTATGGATTTTTTAATATACTGATACAAACTTTAGAGTTATTTTTGTTACACTGTATATGTTTTGACTATTGTTTAAGATATTTTTGTACATTGATACAAATTAAAGGTTATTTTTTATACTATACACTTTTTTTTTTTTGGTTTTTACGAGACAGGGTTTCTCTGTATTGTTTTGGAGGCTGTCGGTCCAGCCCGGCCTTGAACTCATAGAGATCCACCTGCCTCTGCCTCCCGAGTGCTGGGATTAAAGGCGTGCGCCACCACCGCCCCGCACACGTTTCTATTTTTAAGGTGTTGTACCTATGCAGCTAGTTTAATTATGTAACGTAAAAGTTTTAGTCCTTGAAGGCTATTTAGAATAAGAAGTACAAGTTAATAGTCACCCGTAACTATCAAACTTATAATCATGTTAGGTATGTTCTCAAGGTCATACAGAGACATATTTTAGATAGGTGATCTTCAAGCACTTCAAAGACCCACACAGTGTGGCATTTAAAATGTTTTAATAGCATAAGGTTTTTCTTGACAATGAGACACATCTGCTCCTGGCAGCACTGATCTCCTTCAAAACAGGATGATGAGCATCAAAGAACCTCCAGATTGGCATTTACTTTCTTTGTGGCAAAAGCTAGCCCTTGGGGGCAAAAAACTACCCTTGCCTCTACTGCTGACAGTGCACTGTCTAAACTGGACAAGCAGGACACAAAGAAAAGTGACTGCCCAGCTTTGCCAAAACCATAAGGATTTGTAAACAAAGAGGAAAAAAGAAAAAATGGCCGGGTTGCTCTATTTTAGTAGTAGATCACTTGCTTAGTATGTGTGAGGGGCCCTGGATTCAATCTCAGTACCCTGCCCCCTAAAGGGGGGGGAGGATGGTGCTACACACCAAGAGCAAATTACCTGAAATAGAAATTTATAAAGCAATTCTTATTTACAATAGCTGCAAAAATGCAACACCTGGTTTCCGATCCAAAGGAAACTTCATTTTCCCAAATTCCAAAAGGCAGTCCAAATATTCCAAAATGGGCTCCAGCTGGACTATAGGATTTCTGGAGGCTACATCAAAGCCAGCATTCCTCAGGAACTTGTAAAGCTGATTCCCCTCTACCAAAAGGAAAGGTTTCCCTATCACTGGGAGAAGAGACAAATGGTGGTCATCTATGGAGCCTATTAGCATACTAAAGTGCATGCAGGCCTCCAGGCTCCCATATTTCAGGGTCCACACTATCCTAGTTCCTCACCACTCCCACTACCCAAAACTTCCTCCAGGCTCCATCCCCCAGCTAGATCTCCTTATTACCCTGATGGTGCGCACACGCTAGCTCACACTGTCTCTGTCTCTCTCTGCTCTCTCCTGTCTGCTGGCCATTTCCAGTATCTTTGTCTCTCTTCTGAACTTTATACCAGATGTGTCTAGCTGTTTTCTTTCATATCTACAATAAAGCCTCCCCTCCCCCTTAAACATACAACAGAGTGGTGGTGATGTCAGTTTACACACCTAGTAATACCTTTAAAATCAGAGACAAAAGAGCCCTACAATAAAAATCACAAAGCACTGATAAAAGAAATTAAGAAAACACACATACACTGGAGGAAAAAAATACTAAATTTGTTGTTCTAACCAAAGCAACCTCTATCAAAATACCAATGACATCCTTCTAAGAATAGGGGCAGGGGTCCTAATACCAGGAGGTGATGGCATTCAACTTTAATCCCAGCACTCGGGTGGTAGAAGCAGGCAGCTCTCTGAGTTCTATGCCAATCTGGAACCCGTTTGAGACAGAGAAACCCGGTCTCAAAAAACAAACAAAAAAATCCCTAGAATGTGTATAATACTACAAAACAAACAGCAAGCATAAAACCTATCTTGGTAAAATGAACAAGAGCAAAGGGCGTCCTATTTAATTCCAATCACACTACAAAGTTTGCAGTAATTAAAATGGCACAGTAGACATCCTGACCAACAGAGAGCCTACAAATAAACTGACCCACAGGGCAGAGGGGCTTCAGAACTATCACACTCACTTCCAAAGCTCTTGTAAATCACCGGTCTAACTCTCTGATCGTGTGTAAAACTTGTCTGCTCCTAGGTTTGGTTTCAAAGTTTTGTATACGTCAGTTTTTACACTGCATTAAGGTTGAAGGACTTCTACAATTTAACTTATTTTTACCACAGGGGGGAAAAATGTTTTATATACTCCATATAATAACTTAAAAGGGGTATTTATATAAAGATCCTAAATGGAAATGGAAATTCTTTAAGCAATGCATTCATAAACCTTAGTTAGCAAGTCTCATTAAAACCAAGAACAGTAAGTCAATGAGACAACTCAGCAGGTAAAAATCTAATGGCTGGAGTTCAATCCCTGGGTCTCAGTGCAGGAGAACCAGACTCAAAGAGTTACTCCATACATGTATAGTGACAGACGTGCACCCATACCCCTACACACAAATCATAGACACAGTAACAAAAATTAAGCTAAAATACGTAGTGTTCAAAGTTAAAAAAAAACAATAAAGCAAAAGATTTTCACAAAATGCTTTATTTCTCTAATTGCTATTTCTTATAAATAACTTTGGCAACATTAACAAAATAATAACTTTTATTTGAAAAAGAAGCAACAGACTTCACAGAGTAACAAAATAGTAATCTTGACAGATACTTTGTACATGTGTAAACAAAACAAAGTGACATTGCTTTAAAAATAGACAGAGCTATCAATAGAAAACAGAAAGCTTCCGAAGACTACGCTTGTGTTATAGGCACAGAAATGGACTTAAGCTAGCTCACTTCTAAGACAGAACCAAAGCTCTTGCTAATGATTTATTTCTTCCTGAAGTTCTGTGACTAGGAAACTTGGCAAGACTGCAGAGGGAAGAGAGGTGCACCGAGGGGCGAACTGCCCTCAGAGAGAAGGGATGAACAGGACTTCAAAAGCAGGGGCAATTTCTAGTCACTCTAAAAACCCTGACAAGCTTGATAAACCATGTGTGAGGTAGAGCCATGCAGGCTTTAGGGGACACTGTGAGGAAGGGAAGCAGCCTGTGCAGCCTTGGCATCAGGAGGAACCAGGCTGATACAATAGGTCAGAATAGTGCAGCGGAGGAGAGACAGGATGGGAAGCAGGGGGGAGATGGGCTGGGAAGTGGCAGCAGGCGGGAGCCATAGGTAGGCAGGAGCCAGACCCCTGGGGCCTCCCTTAGCAGTAGACAGCAACTACTCCTCCTTAGGAGCATGCTTTAGTGGAAAAGCAAACTACAAGCGATGGTGCTGGTGACACTGAGGTCCCACTAAACACAGGCCTAAGGTGGTTCTTATTTTCACTGTAGACAGAACACAAGTCTGCAGATCCATTCACACACAGTAGGATTTTCCCACCAGAACAAGTGGGACAAACAACACTTTCCACGTCTAAAGGCAAGGTACAGGGGTAAAGTTAGTGTGCCTTGGCCTAAGCAAACTCATTGCAAAGGCCTATCGAGATATTGAAGATGCAGATCACCATCGATCAATGGATCAGGGCAAATAAATACAACAGAAGATACCGGCCACCTCTCATCTCTCTCAATCTTAACAGAGATACCAAGGCCTGGCGATGATCTCCTCCCAGGAAACTTCACTAGACCGAGGAAGGAAAAGTGGAACAGACATCTAAAAAACCCTTCCCCCACTGCCTCCTTCTTCTGTTTGGTTATAAGGGCAGGGTCTTGCTGTGTAGTTAGTTTGGCCAGGAACTGCTCAACAGCCCAGGCTGACCCTGAGCTCCACATCCTTCTGCCCCAGGCTCCCGGGAGCCGTTATCTGTCACCAGTGTGTGCTACCACCTCCAGCAAGATCACGTACCTTTAAACGAAGAAAAGGGACACTCGGGACATTTCTCCAGACCCGTGCTTATAACCAACATGCATCCAGACTCTTTGACTGATGAAAAGCAGCAGCTGGGCACCTGGGCTAGACATGGAGGAACAGTAGGTGGCACTGGACCAGGCTCAGACAGTCCTGGAAACTTTTACAGAAACAGCTAATGGTACTGAAGCTGCTGGGGCCCAATCCCGAGGGCGCCCTACAGTTCAAAAAGAGAGAGTAGTTCCTCCTAGTAACTAACCAGCTAAGTAGTATGATATATTAGATGGGAGAAAGCAAGTCTTCATTTAGGACATATCTTGCACAAAAGTGCTTCAAGTAAGACCCAAGCAATATTAGTGTCGTCAACTGGGAAATTACACATACAACAAAGGGAAAGCTATTCATTATAATCACTCAAATATGAGGCAAGACACAAATTGTGACTAGGGATCTAGTTCAGTGCAGAGCCCTTGCCTGGTACATGTAAGGCCCTGGGTCTAATCCCTAGCACCAAGTGGGGGAAAAAAGCACCACATCACCAAATTGTAAGCTTCACATATTCAATAACTGTAACATACACACGAAAAAAACGTAGTGAAAAGGTTCCACAGCGGGCGTAAATTCTAGTCGCCCTGGATTTGTGTGTGTGTGTGTGTGTGTGTGATGTCCAAAATCATTGGGCAAGTCCCTATTACAGCTTAAAAGTAGAACAAAATCCAGCCCAGGTCATAGACTGGACAGATGCCATTTTTCTGAACCTTTTCAATTACAATGAAGGTTCAGTACACTTCAAGCTATAAATCCCAAGGCTTCTTTCCACAGGAGAAAGACAGTGCGCTTTACTGCTGTGTCCCATAGGATGTGGCCAGTCACTCTTCAAACACAGCTAGCCCAAACGGGGAGAAGAGCGCATGAGTCCAAACACCCTAAGTAGCAGGCGATAGGAAGTTCGTGGACACTACGAACCGCTGTTGCTGCTTCACATGGCACTAAGGACGCACAGCTGTGCTTTCTGTATTTGTAGGGGCTTTTCACAAAACGCGGGCATTTTACAAGAAGGGCTTGGCCTCCTTAGATCTTCTTTTGGGTAAAGATGTTCAGGCAGTATTCATTCTTTGGCTCCAAGACTGGAATGAATGTGTGCCTGTCCACTTACCCATGCTAAACCATTTAAGAAGAGCAAACGTTAGCTACCTATAGATCTTCAAAGAGAAGCGGGGCCTTGTGAGCCCCACCAAACCCCAAACTTTCATGTAGAAGAGCTCTCAAGCTTAGGAGTCACATGAAATACTAATAAATAGGTTTCACTTCCGTTTTCCATTCACAAGGATACAGGCCCAAGGACGCTCCTTGTTTTGAGCCTAACAGTATGAAAACAGACACATTTTAAATAACACTTACTGTTCATTCAGAAAATACTATAGGTCAGAGAATGGGGTGGTAGAGAACTTGCTTATTATTTGTGAGGCCTTGGATCCAGCCCCCATCACTAAAACAGAACAAAACAAACCCTCACAAAATAAAATAAAAACAAATGAACAAAAACCCTGCATTATCACAAAATTAAGGGAAAAAAAAAACCAGTCCATTTAGGTATCAGTTCATCATCCTGGTTCCTAAGGAACAGCAAGTGTATAGTTTGTACTTCTATCTTCATGAAGGGCGTGGGGTGCTCACTTGGGTTAGAATTAGTGGGACCTTTTTGAAGGTCTACCTTGAGATTTGGGAGAAGACGGCTCCCAGTCAGTTGTGCTCACAGTGATTGATGCTACTTTCACAGATTCTGACTCAGCAGGCTCCGCTGACACCTGAATAACAACCTTTGTATCAGGGGGCAACCCATCCAGATGTTTCGGCCTCTTAAACATTTGGTGACACCGGGTCTTATGCTCCATTTTCTCCTTGAAGGTTAAGAACTGTAGCCGACATTTGGAACACTGGTGCCCATTCTTTTCCCAGTGGCCCCGATAATGACACATGTACGGAGTTCCAGTTTTGAAAATCTTAAGACAAAATGGACAGAGTAGGTTCTTAGTGTTCACATGGCACTTTCTAAAATGTGACTCCACGTCGGCGAAGGCGGATGACCTGTACTTACAGACCTGGCACACGTAGGGCATTTCCCCGGGCTTGTGGTTATCCTTCATGTGCTGTAAAAGAACTTGATCTGTTTCGAACGACAACTCACAGATTTTGCAGACCGTCGCGGGGTTGGGGGCGGTGTGCACGCGGTCGACGTGGCACTCCAGGTGGAAGGGCGAGGTGAACTGCCGGTGGCAGTGCTGGCAGGTGGTGTGGTTCTCCCAGCCGTCGTTGCCTTGCCTCTCGAGCTCCACATGGTGTTTGGTGTGGTTCATAAACTTGACGTTTTTTAGAGCTTTCAAACAGTTGGGGCATTTGAAGATCGTGTGAGTCTTCTGTTCTAGCTGCCCATCTCCTTTATGCTGTCCATAGTAAAAGTCGCTGAGTAACAATGTCAAACTCCCTTTCTTGGGATCAGACGTTTCTTGAGTTGCCACACTTGGAAAGCCCACTTGTGCCAAGCCGTTTTCCTGGCGAGGGTGCACATTTGTAGGACTGGCACCGACAGAGTGCTCTCCATTCACAACACGGTTTAAGGATTCGGGAACGTGGCTGGCGGGTGTACTCGGTTGAGGATTCGAGGTATGGAAAGTGCCTGAAGGGGGCGATGCCGAAGAGTGTTCTTCTACTATTTCAATAACAAGCCCAGGCCTCTGCGGATTCACGACGTTTGCTCCGGAAGTAGAATGGCACTTCGATACATAAGAACTCTCATTCAAATCTCCTACTGAAAGTGCTGCCCTTACGGGACTGTGCTTCGAACTTGAGACTGTAACCAAAGGGGAGCCCTCTGGAGAACTATCAGGCACAATTTGTGGTGAAGTACTTCTATAGTCGGGTTCGGACAAAGGCTCAATAATAATGGGACTATCTGTTGACCTTGACTCAGCTGGAGATGCCGGCAGGACAATCACTGTGTCTGAGCTGGGGGTCGCAGGACCCGAGGGCTGCGGTCTTTGAGTAGCAGCTGCTCTAAGGCGATTCCGCTTTCTTTTCAGCCGTGAACCTGGAGTGACTCTGTTCAAAATGTTCGAGTTAGAAGGTTTTGAATTTGAACTCACGCCGACAAATATCAGTTCAGAGTCATCATGTACATGCTCAACCCCTACAAAGATTAGCTCGGCATCCTCGTCAGGGGCTTGACTGGGTTCCTGCTCTTCATCATCGCACAACACGAATGGCTGCTCCATGCCTAACCCTTTGGTTCCTGACAGGTGTGTGGCCACAGGTCCCCGTACTTCCTCTATGCACAGTGTCACCTGAGTACAAACACATCACACATCAGTAAGCACAGAGAAAGGACTTGTTTTTCTCATCAAAGACTTTGAGGTGATTATAAACATTAAGGACACTCATCCAGGGCCACTATCTTTCAGACCCAGACCTGGGCAGGAGGTGTATCCATGGACACCATTACCTAGGACTGTCACCCAGCACCTATCTCTAAGTAGCAGCCAGATCCCAGACAGCAGCCCATCTGCAAGGTCTCTTAGGTGAGTCCTCTCACCTCCAGCTGCCTCCTCTCCCAATCCCCACCTCCAGGCACAGGTCCAGCTAAGAGTCCAATCTGCCCTTTCTCGTGGTGAGTCTGCCCCAGAACCTTCACCACATGCTACCCACCCAGGTCCAGAAGGGGCCGCATCTGCAAGCTATCTTAGCCCAGACCCACCGTGTGCTCTCTTGCTGAGGCTGACCAAGTCCCTGAACTTGTGCTGCCCTCCAGGCCCAGGTCCAGCCAGGAGTCACGCACACCAGAGGACTTTCCTGGACTTCACGAAAACAATCTTACCCTACCCTTAGACCCCTGCATCACACTGGTTAACAGTGAACTGGAGTTACCCCAGTCTCTCCTGGCAACAATCAACACTGGGTATCTCAAGGACTAACCTGCTCACTCCAAACTTGTCTTGAAATGAACCAAGCTCAAACAAGAGCAAAAACAGAATCAAACTTCTACTCCACATATGCAGTCTAGAATCTCACATCAGACACACTATCAAAGAAATGAACTCCCAGGGCTGGAGATGGCTCAGAGGTTAAGAGCACTGGCTGTTCTTACAGAGTTGCTGAGTTCAATTCCCAGCACCTACATGGTGGCTCAAAACCATCTATAAAGAGATCCGGTGCTCTCTTCTGGCATACAGGTAGACAGAATACTACATACATAATCAATCAACGAAGGAAGGATGGAAGGAAGGAAGGAACGAACGAACAAACGAAGGAACAAACGAAGGAACAAAGGAAGGAACTCCCACATTCAACCCTGTTAGAAAACAAACAGCATGGAAGACCAAGACAACAAATACCACTTAAAGACAAACAACTCTGTAAGAAATGTTGCCCCAAAAGGAACTACCAAGACTAAACTCGGGAAACAGAATTTAAAAGAACAATTGTAAACAATCAAAGAATTTGACAAATCCAAAGAGGGCACAAGCAAACCACCTCAATGAACTTCAAGAGGACAGAAATAAGAAAACCACTTGGATACCTAAGGTAAGTTTTAGCTCAATTTCTCCAGGGCCTGTTTCCCAAGTGTGTGGCGGTATTCTACTTTGCTTTCTGTTGCTGTGACAGACACCATGACCAAGATCAACTTTGGGAAGGAAAAAGTTTGCTTCCTCTTACAACTCTCAGATCACAATCTATCTGATTTGTAAAACCGGATTATGTTCCAATAGTTCTGCAGTTTCTATAGACTTAATTTGAAGAACTGTCCAAATCAGGAATTCTGGAGGCTAAGAAATAATTTTCAGCAGCTATCATTTTATAATATTTTCAATATAAATGATGTTAAAGTAAGTTATATGAAGCCTTAGTATACACAAGCACACATAAACAATGATTGCACAACGCATGGGTAAATATTTTTAATTCTGGCACTAAGGGCAATTGTGACATCAAGTACAGGTTCAAGGCTAGCAAGATAAGATCCTGTGACAATAAAAATAAAAAGCAACAAATTAACTAAAAAAAAAGCTGCTCAATGGCCAGGCTTAGTGGTACATACCTTTAATCCTAGTACTTGGGAGGCAGAGGTAGGCAGATCTCTGTGAATCTGATGTCAGCCTGGTCTACATAGCCTATATAGTGAATTCCTGGACAGCTAGAGCTACATAATGAAACCCTGACTTGGGAGAGGGGGAAAAAAAGCTGTTCAATGAATTACTACTAGTACTCTGAAAAACTGCTATACAGCAATGCAAAATGCAGGCAGACCAGCAATTTCTGAAGATCTTAAAAAAAAAAACTAACCCAGCTTATATCCTTCAAACCAACATTACATTTTCTTCAATTACATTTTTATTTATTTACTTGCCTCCTGCCACCATAATGGCTCTGAAAACTGACACTCCAGCTGTCACACTTGGCACCAGCATGTACCTTTTTATCTACAAAAATTAAACTAGCTCCTAACATATACCATATGCATGACATATTATTTTAATTTGATTATTAATATCTAATTTGTAACATACCATTTATTCCTATAAACACCTTGGAAGTCAACTAAAATATATTCTATTAAGCATAATAAAAATTACCTGTTCTTTTCCTCATTACTTCTTACATATTTTATTTTCCCAATGCTAGCAAAATATGTATAAAGCACTAAGAAAACAGTAAAGGCATGAAACTCAGTCTGTTGTATGATACATAGTATGGTTTACAAGTAAAATTTAAGATCAAGGAAACACACACACACACACTTCCTGCCATGACAATAATGGACTAACCCTCTGAATTGTAAGTCACCCAAGTTAAATGCTTTTCTTTATAAGAGTTGCTGTGGTCATGGTGTCGCTTCACAGAATAGTAAGCCTAAGACTGCAAACAAACAAAAATCTAAATCAGAATGAATGGCTACATTCTTCCTGGTATAACAAATATCAGAAGATAATTTGAGAACTAATATGGCTAATATGGCTATCAGGCTTATATAAGAACAAATTTTGTAGCCCAAAAAAATTTTATTATATTGAGGGTTTTCTGAGTCCTAGTTTGGATGACATGATTCTATTGCATAAGAGGTCCTAATGACTCCACAAGAAATCTTTTAGAAGTGATAAGCATTTCTAGCAAAGGGACAGGATATAAAATTAACATAAAAAATCAGTATGCTTCCTATATACCAATGACAAACAGAAAGAAACCAAGTAAACAATTCCATTCACAAAAGCCTCTAAGCGGAACAAAAACCATTGGAATAAACCTAATCAAGGAGTGAACAAACTCTAAAGACCTCAACAGTGAACATCTTAAAACACTGAAGAAATTGAGGAAGACATTAGAAAACAGATGGACCTCTGATGAGTTGAATTCCCAGAAGTCACATGGTGACTCCTGGCCATCTAGATTAAGATCTGATGCCCTCTTCTGGTGTACAGGTGTACCTTCAAGCGGAACACTGTGTGTGTGTGTGTGTGTGTGTGTGTGTGTGTGTGTGTGTGTGTGTGTGTGTATTTTTAAATATATATGTAGGTTCAGTTTAAGCTTAAACGAGGCACCCTACTACAAGGGGAGTGGGGATGACCAACAATACTTCCTCTAGAAAACGTTATTAAATTAAATGAAAATTCCCATCCCTATGTTATTAATCTGGGAAGCTCCAGCAGCTCCCCAACAACACAGGCTACTACCATGGCTTGACTGTTTGCCACAGCTAGATGGTAAGACCTACTGCTGAAGACACCCCACAGTATGGTAGCAGGATACACAAAAACTATGCTGGAACTGACCTAGAAACTTCCTCTCCGATGGCTAGCTTTCAGCGCTGGGAGGTGCTATACAGGTCACAGAAGTATTTCCTAGACTTGTCTGCATGCTACAGTACTAACTTGACAGATGAGATGTGCCTCTGGTTCATGGATATAATGGTATGTTCCAAAGGCACACCATTGGATTTGAGGCCTGTTCTACCACATATAATCCGTGCCTGGAACTGTCAACCTGGTCAAAAGCCCATGGTTTGGAAGGTCACAAGCCTTAGGAGGGAAACCTCCTGTTGCTCCACCTTCCAAATATTGGCATTTATACCTTTAGAATAATGTTATTCAGTGTTGATAAATCTTCCTGCAGTGGGTAAGTCAAGGCAGAGACTTTCAAACCATAAGCCAAAACAAATCCTAAGTTGCTTTCCCAGGCATTTAACACAACCCAATTAAAAATGGGCAAAATGGGTCAGGCGTAGGTGACCATCAAGTCATCCCAACACTCAGGAGGCAGAGGCAGGTGGATCCCTGTGAGTTCAAGGCCAGCCTAGTCTACAGAGCTAGTTCCAGGACAGCCTCCAAAGTATCACAGAGAAACCCTGTCTGGAAAAACAAAACAACAACAACAAAAATGGGCAAATGGAGCTGGAGAGATGAATCAGTAGTTACAAACACCAGCTGCTCTTTCTAAGGACCTGGGTTTAATTCCCAGCAAGCACATGGCAGCTCATAACTGTCTATAACTCCAGTTCCAGGGGATCCAACACCCACACAGACATAAAAAAATTTTTTAAAATGAGTAAGATTTTAATAGACATTTATTTATTCAATGACATACAAATAACTTGTGTGTTCAACATCACAAGTCAGAGAAATGCAAATTAAAATTATTAGATATCACCTCACATCAATTAGAAGAGCTATGACAAATTTAAAAACAGTAAGTAACTGTTGGCAAGGACATGGATAAATCGGAATCCTCAAGCTGTTCAACTGTAAAAATGATAACAGCTGCTGTGGAAAAAAGGCATGGAAGTTCCCAGGAGGGGAAAAAGATGTTTTTAAAGAACTATCGTTTGGCTGGGTGGTGGTGGTGCACACCTTTAGTTCCAGCACTTGGGAGGCAGAGGCAGGTGGATCTCTGAGTTCAAGACCAGCTTGGTCTACAAGAGTTAAGTGCTAGTTCCAGGACAACCTCCAAAGCCACAGAGAAACCCTGCCTTGAAAAACAAAACCAAACAGAATTATCATATGATCCTGCAGTCTAACATCTAGGTATATTCAGAAAAAAGAAATGTCTTAAAGAAACAGTAACACACTTTTTCTGCAACTCTTGAGATGATCACCTCACTTAAAATGGCTCCAGAATAAACTATGTCCCTAACGGGATACAATGTAATGAGAGACTTCCCTTCAGCCCCAAAGACTTCCTTGACAACAAAGACTGCATCCATTCAAGATAAAAGTCTTAGACAAGCAGGACTAGGTGGAACATACTACAACATAATAAAAACTATATATGAGAAACCCACAACCAACACCATCTTAAGTGGAGAAATGTTGAAGCAATTCCACTGAAGTCAGGAATAAGACAGAGATGATCAGTACTTCCCATCCTCAATATTGTGCTTGAAGCACTAGCTGGAACAATAATTCATAAAAAGGAAACAGAAGGGCTACAAATAGGAAAAGAGGACATCAAACAATTGCTATTAGCAGATGACTATTATACATAAAAGGTCCCAAAAATTCTAGAAAACCCCAGAAGCAATAAACAATTTCAGCACAGTGACAAAATAACCAACATAGAGGAGATTATTACAGGGAGCCCTACACACTAAAACACAGTTTAGAGCCAATTGAAAATCTTTGTCAGCTGGGACTACACTCACATATTGGGGACACAAAGTATCACACTGAACATGTAGAGTAAGGGACTTTTAAAGGCCAAAACCATATTCTGTTATCTCAGCTGGGGTCGGGATGGGGGTGGGGGGTGCAATCAAGCAGTATAACAGAAGCTAAGATAAGCAGTTAGCTAAAGGGGGAGGGTTTTACACAAGCAGGCAGTCTAACAGAAGTCAAGATAAGTTAGCCGGGGCATCTTGACCTTAGGTTCTTAGAATAATTTTACACAGGGCTTTCCATCGAGGAGATCAGATTCTAGTCAAATCTAAAATGGCTTCAGCAAGAATACAAGATGGAGGAATCTCTGTACTGTCTTGCCCTATCACGTTATCATGGTACTCCCACCAATAACAGGCTCAAAGGAAATAAACTATTTAGGGATAAACAAGGAAATGAAAGACATCTACAATGAAAACTTTAAACTTCTGAAAAAAAAGAGATAAAGACACTAGAAAATAGAATGGAAAGATATCCCATGCTCATGGATTAATTATTCAAAATTAATATCCTGAAAATGACTATTCTACTAAAGCTATTTACAGAGTCAATGCAGTCTCAAAATCCCCATCTTATTCATCACAAAAGTAGGAAAAAAACTATCCTAAAATTAATATGGAACCACAAAAGACACCAGATAGCCAAAACAATCCTGAATAAAAAGAACACTGCTAGAGAGATTATTATACCAGATCTTAAGACATATAACATGCTAAACATAGCGGCACATGACTTTAGTCCCAGCCCTCAGAAGGCAGAGGCAGGTGGATCTCTGTGAGCCTATCCTAGGAGTTCCAGGACAGCTAGAACTATATAGAGACCCTGTCTCAAAAAAACAAAACAAAAAAGATACATTACAGAGCCATAGTAATGAAAACAAAACGGTACTGGAACAAAAACAGGCATGTAGACCAATGGAACAAAATTGAAGACCCAAACATGAGTATATGTAACTTCAATCACTTAGTATTTGACAAAAATGCTATACATCTGTCAGAGGAGTCATTTATAATATATAAAGAACTCAAAAATCATGGAGTAAAAAAAAAGTATGAATCATTCAAAAAATGAACTTGGGACCTGAACAGAGATTTCTCAACAAACTAAAAACTGCTAAGAAATATCTCAAAAAAATGTTCACTGTCCCTAGCTATTATGTAATATAAACAAAAACCATGGGGGTTCATTTTATCACAGTCAGAATGGTAAGGATCAACAAACAGCCAACAACAACTTGTAGAAGAGTATGGGGGGGAAGGGAACCCTCATTCACTGTTGGTGGGATTGGAAACTAACTGCGTCACTCTGGAAATCAGTGTGGAGAATTCTCAAACACCCATAAGGTCTCAGCAGTACGGCTCCCTAACCACCTGGACATGATCTCAACAAGGACAACACCAAAAGTCATACTAATGTGGAAAAGGGAACTCTCCTTGAGGCATTAACCCTACACAAAGAACTACGGTCAACTAAGGAATACTGACAATGGGAGAAATCTTTCCCAGGTCAGACCTGAAAACAAATGTACGTGTGTGCGTAAAACATTCCCCAGATTTAGCAGGCTGTATTTACATATCTGGGTATGTCTGTGTATGTGTGTAATATATACATATACATGTAACAACAAAGAAAAAGAGATCATGAATTTTGAAAGAGCAAGGGAGATAGGTGAGAGGGCTTGGAGAAGAAGGAGGAGGACGAAATGACACAATTGTAATTCCAAAAAAATAAAAAATTACTTAAACAAAAGAAATATTGCAGAAAAAAAGGTTAAAAGCGAGCACTTTTTGCTTTCTACTATTATCTCTTAATACATCAAACTGACCCTAAGGTGATAAGTGATGATACCTTAGAATTCCTGGAGGTCAAAAAATTGGAAAAAAAAAAAAAAAACAGAAGTCAGGCTTCTGTATGCCTATAACCACAGCCCTTGGAAAGGGAAGACTAAAATCAGGAATTCAAGGTCATTCTCAGCTACATAAACCAGTCTAGGATATGTGAAATCCTCTCAAAAAAAAAAAGGGTGGGGGTAGAGACTAAACCAATTTAACATTTTGCTGCATTCGCTGAATCTTAATATACCTGTACCCAGCTCCCTACTATGATAAGTTAGTTTCCACTTTCTTTTTCAAAATTTCAGTGACAACAGCACATACTACTTCTTCCTGTTTGAGCAAGCAACTTAGAAGGTTCCAGAATTACTTACAATAATACGTGGCCTAAAATTATCATATCCATTCAGATTCCCTCAGGAAATTCTAAAGGATTGTTTGTTTTATTTTGGTTTTTGTTTTTTTTGAGACTTGGCCTGAATTTATCATACCCATTCAGATTATCTCAGGAAATTCTAAATGATAATTTATTTTGTTTTATTTATTTGTTTGTTTGTTCCTGTATCGCTGGTTGTCCTGGAACTCAGTCTGTAGACCAGGCTGACCTCGAAATCACAGATGATCCTCCTGCCTCTGCCTCCTAAATGATGGGATTAAAGGAGTGTGCCACCAACTCGGGGTGACAATGTTTTATTTTATCAAAGGAGTGAACAAAAGACAGAAAACAAAGGAGAAAAGACCTTTCTCTTACCTCAGATATACGCTGTAATTTTTAATAACTTCCGGGAATCCAAGTAATGAAAGTCAGTCACATGCCTGAGGTAATCAGAGAAAAAAACAAAATCAAAAAACTCTAAGATTCAGTTACATTTTATATGTTTATAAGTAGGTTTTATTCTACTTCACTACGTAACCGCTATATAAATACTACTTTACTTTTTTTGTTTTGTTTGCTTTGATACAAAGCATGTTTGATCCTCCTGTCTCCACTTAACCAAGTTCTGGGTGAGACCCACACAACCGCTTTGTGAGCCCAGGGGCAGGCTTTGTCCACCCTGTGCGAGCACTCGACCAGCTAAGCTACCCATCCCCCAGCCCTGTCATTTGGATGGTTATCTCGAGCCGCTTACAGGCTGCCATCCAATATACCATACCTCTGTAAACGAACAAAACAAAAAACAAACAAAAAAAACCACCTCACTAGGACCCTGCTCAAACCAAAATTAGCTATCTAGGAGAATCTATTAGGAGCTGAGAGCCACCCTAGAATTCAAGGAGGCACGAACTCAACAGAAAACACAAACAAGATGGTGCTGTATGGTAAAGAGACAAATAAATGGATTTTAAGATACTTTAAAAGCCTCAAAGGGCCTGTGGATCTCCAGACTGGGAGTGGGGCTCAATTTACAAAACCGGCTTACAGTTTTGTTTACTGACTTGGCTCCCTAGCTTCTTGAATCCGGCTCACTATGTGGTCCTTGCACGGCCTCCCTAGCGGCCGGGATTTTACAGCACCCCGCTCTGTAGGTCTCCTGCCTTCAGGATTTTAGGTACCCTAGGCGCCACAAGGGCCCACGTGATGGGGGAAGGCATTTAGGGGGAGCAGGCCCAGCCCTGGGGTGGGGGAGGGGAGAGCCCGCAGGAGGGGGAACGCACGTGTGCGCCGGGGGCTGCCAGGCGGGATCCCGGGAGCCCGGCCTACCCGCGCTTGCTTCCCCGGGGCACGCAGAAAGCTCTCATCCCGGGATCTGGTGACCGGCCCATCCCGGTCGCCCCCACAGAGGTAGGTAGGGCCACACCCACGCCATTACCTCCCCGGCGTACCTGAGCCTCCCCGATCGCCTTGGCCCGCGAGGCGCTGCGCGGGAAGCCCCGCACCACGACCTGCTGGGCCCGCCGCACCATCGGCAGAGCCCAGGCCGCCAAACACTTGCCCACGGCGACCTGTGATTGGCTGCCAAGGGTGGACGCGAGGTCAAGCCGCTCGGCTCCGGGCGTAGCGCCGATCTGATTGGTCCCAAGGCCCCTGGGAGCGTTCTCCCACTCTGGCACCCCTAGTGGCGTCAGCGGGCGAAGGGGCCAAACTGAGACAGACAAGGCAGTGACGATACACCCCTGAGCTCTTGGCCCTGCAAGATGGTTGAAAGCCAAAACCTGCTCTTTCGTACCAGCGCTTAGGGGGCTGAGGCAGGAGGACTGCAAATTAGACACGGCTGCATAGTGAGATCCTGTCTCAAAAAAAAGGACGGGGGCGGGGAATAGATAAGAGATAAAGGCAAATATATATACATATATATACAAATATATATACATATATATATATATGGGCCCGGAGCCAGAAATGCAGAAATGCCTCGCAGTCCCATTAGGAAATTGTTTGCTACCCGTAGCCACCTGTAGTACAGCTGTGACATTCCTCAACTGTGTACATTTGGCATGAACACACTCACCCGCTCTTTCTCACACTTTTGAGACTGATCCGAGCTACGAGGCTTCCAACCCATCCTCTTTAAACGGCCTCTAGGATCAATCCAGCTAAGCCTGCCACTGTTTTAATCTAGCTGGAAGCAAACTCAGAACAGATGTGTCCCCCCCCCTTTTTTAACTATATGAAACTCAAATATCAGTATTCATAAATAAAGTTTTGGAACACCGCACGCTTATTTTTCCTTATTGCCTGTGCTTGGTTTCTTACTACGACAGAAATTTTATTAGTTACCAGAGAGTTTGTCCCTTTTCATAATATTTTTATTGATTATTTGAGAATTTCACATGAACCCTGAGCACGGTCACTTCCCAGTCCCAGGTCTGCCCCCCCCGTGGCTCCCCCTCCAAAAAAAGAAGTCAAACTCCCAGTGATCAGCTCCATAAAGGAAAGCTGAGTCCTTCCCCACCTGCACCCCACCCCAGAAGCCATCGATTGTGGAGAGCTAACTCCAGCACCCTTATCACAGTTTTTAAGGGTTTTTTCTCTTTGTTGGCTTTGTCTAAGCTGTTACTTTGGGGGTGGAGTAGGGTTGTCACAGAAGCCTTCTAGGTCCCTCTTTCTCAACTGTGAGTCTGCAGTCACCGATTCTGTAGCAAAAGTAGCTTCCTTGCCCTTTAAGGTCAGCTGGAGCCACGGATCATGAACTTACAGTGGTTTCTGGTGACAGCACAGACCACCGGCATCCACATGGACCAGAGAACTTTTTACTATCTGGTAAGTTTAGGCCAGTGAGATGGCTCACTAGGTAAAAGCACTTCCTACACAGACCTGACCACTTGAGCTCTGTCCCTAGATCTCACAGAGGAAATAGAAAACCAACTCTCAGAAGTTATCCTCTGAAGGATATGGAGCAACACGCCTTTAAGCCCATCCCTCAGGAGGCTACAGCATACAGATCTCTGGGTTCAAGGGAGGCCAGTCTACAGAGAGTTCCAGGTCAGCCAAGGCTACACAGTGAAATACCATCTAAAAGAAAAAAATTTTAATAAGAAAAAAAGTTTTCCTCTGACCTCCACACATGCACCATGGCATTCATGAACCCCACACACCACACACACACACACACACACACACACACACACACACACAGGCATATACATGCAAACATCAAATGCATACCATAATAAGTGAATTTTTTTTCAAAAAGGAAAAGTTTGCCCGCTCTCAGTTCACTTGCAGCTCTTGAAGTGTGGTGTGATTGTGTGTTTGTATGTGTGTGCACATATGCATGCATGTGAAGACCAGAGGTGAATGTCTTCCTAAGCCATTCTATACCTTTTTTTTTTTTTTTTTTGAGACAGGTCTCCCTATTTAGCTCTAGCTGTCCTGGAACTCACTCTGTAGACCAGGCTGATCTCAAACTCACCTGAGATCCTCCTGACTCTGCTTCCCGAGTTCTAGAATTAAAGTGTGTGCTGCCATCCCATGTTGAATAGAAGTCAAATACTGTGCAACTTTATAAAGTGCTTAAGTATCAGCGGACTCTGATGTCCTCAAGGGACACCTGAAACTGATTCCCTATGGGTCCAGGAAAAATAACTGCATATGATTTTTGTAAACTACATTTGGAAAACCTCTAATGTACCGGGTTTTAGACTGTGGCTCTCATCCTTCTGTGCTTTAGAATTACCCTGGGAGTTTTAAGAGGCACCGGTAGCCAGTTCACTCAATCTTACCATATTCTAAATGACCATATAGCTTCCACCTGAGAAATGGCTAGTGGCTGAGGTGACAGTTCCTCTATCCACTTCCTTTGACAGTAGAAAGTCCTTCCTTTTTCCATGTTCGGGCTCTTTTCACAGTGCCTGGCCCAGAGCATACTCGTCTTCCAGGCACACTAAGCAGTGGGAAAACTGGAAAAGTCCTGAGACCAGGAACACACCTCGGATGGCTGAACAATAACCACTATTATTTCTGACATCCGTCTCAGAGGGATCCAAAAGGATGAGCAACATTACTATCATGACACCCTGTCCCCATGGACTTTCATGTTTCTCAGCATTTTCACTGAGAACACATGAAATCGTGTGTGGAGTCGAAGCTGAACTTTGTCTTAGTAGTTGGTCTCAGTTTTGCCCCCGGGAGAAATGTCTGGAGGCAATTTTGACTGTCTTGTCTTTTGTCACACTAGCAACTAGTGGGCAGAAGGCAAGAGACTCTGTGAAACACCGGCACAGGACAGTTCTCACAGGAAGCCACTCTGCCTAAAATGTCAATAGTGCCTAGGTTAAAACAGGGTAGGTGAAATGGCCCCATACCTAATCTGCACAGTGCCCTTGGTAGACTACTACTATGTAGAAGCTGCATATCAGATAAAAAATGTCTAGGTAATGATATGATGAACTTTGATGGGATTCAGGTGGCATGGATGTGTATTGGAGAGAAGGTCCCACAAACTAGACTACCATCTACCTCCAGATCCTGACTTCACGTTATCATAAATGGGAATGAAAACAAAGGAAAGTTCAAAAAGTACTGCATTGTGACTTATAATTTATGTTTTCTAACCAAGAAGATGATTCATCTCTATTAATCTAGAGAGAGAAGTCCAAATATAGGGTGGTCTAACTGCTAGTAGTTGAAGATCAAGGCTTCTAAGATGAATTAAAATTACAACAGTGTGTTGGCCAGAGCTAACGGTGGTGTTAGGCAGGGGAGGTTCTGGGCATTTGAAATGAGACTAAGTGGTTTATGCATCTCAAGTTGAATTATTTTGTTTGGTATAATCTGAAGACTTTTGCCAAAATGTGCTTGAGACATTACGAGGTGAAAACTTAAGTCTGGGACCTGAGGCTGAATTTAGGAGCGTGAGGCTAGTCTGGGTTGAATAGCAACTGGCTCTGATGGCACCAGCCTGTAATCTCACCTACGGGGAGGGTGGAGTAAAGGGATTAAAAATTCAGGCCTACTGGGGCTAAGAACTAAATGCCATCCACCTTGGTGAATCTTGACTCACAATTTTAAACAAACAAAAAAGAATATTTTAAGATCTGGGGACATAGCTCTCAGAGGTAGTACACTTGCCCTACATGTGTGAGGCACTAGGCTCAGCCACCAGAGATAAACAAACAGCAAGGAAGCAACCTGTCTCAGAAAAGGGTGGGGAGGAAGGGATTGGCTCAAGAAGACACCTGGTAGAGTCACTGGTCTATTTAATCTTCCCTCTCCTTAGGCACAAAAGATATTTCTTGCCAAAGAACTGAGAGTCAGAGAGGAAATTGACTTGAGATAATCAAATGTAGAAATGTGGGCTGAGGAGGGGTCGGGTGATAGTGGTTAAGTTCTGTTCTTCTTAAAGCAGACAGTTCTGATAGACTCGGAGATCTGCCATCTGAGAGATGAGAGCTGTGGCATCATTGGCATCTTGAAAACAAGAGAAATAAAAAGAGGTTGAACGTGTGAGTCTTTGCTGTCTAAAAGAGTAGCAGGCAACCTTCTGTCTAAGAAAGTGTCTTGGTTACTTTTCTATTGCTGTAATAAGATACCCTGACCAAGGCAACTCATAGAAGAGTTTATTGGAACTTACAGTTTCGGAGAGTGAGTCCATGACAGGATGCATGACAACAGACAAGCAGGCAGGCAGGCATAGCACTAGAGCAGTAGCTGAGAGCTTAACTCTGATCCACAAGCAGGAGTCAGAGAGGCAGATAGACACAAAGAATGGCATGGGTTTTTGAAATATCAAAGCTTACCCCTGTGACACACCTTGTACAACAAAGCCACGCCTCCAAATCCTTCCCAAAAGGTTCCACCAACTGGCAACCAAGCATTCAAATGCATGAGTCTATGGGGGTCATTCTCATCCAAACCACCACAGGGTAGGTATCTTCTCTGGACAGGTATTCATGTCCAGACAGTCAGATAGTTTATAATCAAGAGACCAGGCTGGGAAAATGTCCAAGGGCCTTAGCACAAACCTGATTCCCAAAATCCCTTTCCCAAGTAGATATACAGGGCTGGTGCTAGCCAGATGTGGTAGCATAGGCCTGGACTCCCAGCACTCGAAAGGTGGGTGGGTTTTCAGTTCCAGGCCAGCCTGAACTACCAATTAAGAAACAAAGAACAATAACCATGTTAAAACAAAACACTAGGTCCTTCTCGCTCCTGTGTGTATGATTAGCAATGTCATCAGTGCAAATTAAGCCAACACACAAATTAAGTTCGACTTTTCTGATCACTGGACTAAACACAATTCGAAAATGCAAACACTATTTTTCTCACAAAAACTTTGAAGTCTTAGTGCAAAAAACACAACTCTCACCTCAAAGGTCATGAGAAATGCTGTGTTCTGGAGCCAAATACGGTGAATACAGCCTGAGAGACTGATTCAAGCTACCCCAAATATCACGTTCCAAACAGTAACAGTTTGACAAATTTTTTATAGTAACAGAACAAAGAAAGTCATAAATCAGGTATTTTGAAATTAAGCTGATGGAAGCATTAGAGGGAAATAAAGTTTCTTTTATAGGCCTCAGATGTTATTTGAAGTGTCCTTTGCCTTTGGGCTGGTAAAAGATAGGGGTTTGCTTGCACATTCCAAAAGTGTTATTAATAGCCATAAGGACTGAGGTCAGCCCAGAGCAGAACAATGAATGGTTGCTATGAGTCTAAAGACAGATCAAGGAAACACTGCAGCTCTCCACAATCACGGCTCTTCTAATCAGTCAGTCAGCCTTGTGGAATCTTTCAAGCAGGTGTGGTTGTTTTTCTGGTAACTTTGATTCACAGAGGCAAAAAAAAAAAAATCTGCCAACCAAGTTCAGAGATGATTTCTGTATTAATTAGGGATCTCTCTAGAGGAGCAGAACTATACACTGATAGAATGAATACATGTAGCAAACCCCAGACCCTAACACATCTGACTCCATGGTGAAAGTACCCATTCAGGCCATAAAACTCAGCACATAATGAAAATTAAAAACCTAGTCCATAAAAGTCCATAGTTCTGGGAGAGTTGCTAAATGTACTAGCCTTGCTTTCTGGCTCTTGAAGTTCTGTTTCTGGCTAACTGTCCATGTTAACTGAAGTATGTCAACCCAGAACATGGTTTTTGTGCTTAAAAGTTCAACCTTAGAAAGGCTTGGGGCTACTGGGATCCCAAACACCCAGTACAGTTGCTAGCCAACTAATAAAGATTTCAGTTGGAATAACCCCATGTCCACGCAATCTCCTCTGGTGAATACCCACAACATAAGCATACACATACACACAGACACACACAGACAGACAGACAGACAGACAGACAGACACACACACACACACACACACACGATTATGTTGAAACAGTAACAACAGCTGTCATATCTGAGAGACTGAAAATCAGGTAATTATTCCTTCCATAAGGTTGGTTACTAAGCAGTTCCAACATGGTACTGAAAACCATTTGACTGGAATCTCCAGCTCACCCCTGCTTGACCCAGGGAGCTCCATTCCTCTCTTTCCAAACCCCGCCCTCTCAGAGAATCTCCAACAAAGAAGGCTGCCTAAAGCCCAGTTCCACACTCTTGGCAGCAACAGCAGCAGCTGCAGCTGCTCCTCCCCTGAAGATGCCAACAGCCCAGTCCCCACCCAAAGTGTTATAAACTAGGCACCCAGTTTGTGGCGGACGCATCACCACCTCCCTGGCCCTGGCCCCGCCCCCGTCCCCGCCCCCCTGCGCACCTACAGGGTGTTTAAACTCCCTCCTTTAGTTCAGCCGTGTGATTTTCTCCTACCCCTTCTCTAACCTCTGTCTCTGGGGCTGGAGGACTCACCCTGGAGTTGCTTTGCTCAAAATAAACCTGTTCGCTTACTTTTCAGTGTGTCTTGATTTAAACCTATTTCAAAGCTGGAGTGTTCTTGAGAGCAGCTGGCCCTTAGTCGATAATGGAAGCCTGAAATTACTGTTTTTTTTTTTTTTTAATGTTACCAAAGGAATCAGTCGCAACAACAACAGGGTAAATCAACTGGAAAGAGGGAAGGCCAAGCACACAGATATTTAACAATCTTCCTGCCCTCTGTGACAGGGCAAGTCAGCGCAGAAGTTCCTCCATCATGTTTAACTAGAATTTGATCTCCTTGATGGAGAATCCATGGGGAAATTACCCAACTCTATTCTAGGATCCCGTCTTACTTAGGGTTTTACTGCTGTGAGGAGTCACCATGATCACCGTAACTCTTATGAAGGAAAACATTTACTTGGGGCTGGCTTACTGTTCTGAGCTTTAGTCCATTGTCGTCATGCTGGGAATCATATCGGCACACAGGCCGACTGAAGTGCTGGAGAGGTAGCTGAGGGTTCTACTTCTGGGTCTGCAGGCAGCAGGGAGTGACACAACGACCAGGCTTGAGCTTCTGAGACCTCAAAGCCCACCCCCTAGTAACACATTTTGTCCAACACAGCCAAACTACTCCACAAGGCCACTCCTCCTAATAGTACCACTTCCTATGGGCAAAAGGGGGCCATTTTCATTCCAACCACCACGGATTCCAAGGCCAAAATTCCCTAGATTCTGTTAAACTGCTGGCTTGCGCAGAACCCCTCCAGCTAACTGCTTTTCTCAGCTTCTGTCAAATTGCTTGTTTGCAAAGCCTGTTACCTGTAGCTGTCAAGTGAGAGGCCAGAACATGGTTTCAGCTTCAAAATCCCTGAGCTCTGGACCTCCGGGGCTACACTTAGGTCCCAAATACCTGAGTCAACTGGCTTAAAGACTTTCAGTTGGCTATAAACAGTGTCTTGAGTGGTCATCTCTGGTCGATTCCCCATAACAATGTGTTATATATATGACCCAAGAGCAGGCTATGAATGGGTTTGGGAAAATGCTTTTTTGTTGATGTTAGTGTTACTAAAACATGTAGTAGGTTTCTTGCTAGAGAGGGAAAAACAGTAACAAAGGAACAATTAAATAACTTAACTACTGCTGGGCGGTGGTGGTGCACGCCTTTAATCCCAGCACTCGGGAGGCAGAGGCACGCAGATCTCTGTGAGTTCAAGACCAGCCTGGTCTACAAGAGCTAGTTTCAGGACAGTCTCCAAAGCCACAGAGAAACCCTGTCTGGAAAAACTAAAACAAAACCAAACCAAAAAATACCTTAACTACCTGAAGATGAATCTCAGCAAAAATCCCAGGAATGTCAGAGAGTTGGGGAACACAGAATCAGCCTCATATGATCATCTTTAGTGACCTGCAGAAATTCCCCTAAACCTCAGGAATGTCAATGTAGGTCAAGCTGAGCTTTCTTTCTCTCTCTGTTTCTTTTGTTTTTATGACCAGCTTGTAAAACGAAGATAGTTTACCTTAAACACAGTCAAAAAAACAAAAACAAAAACAAAACCCAGCTGGGTGTTGGTGGCACACGCCTTTAATCCTAGCACTCGCCTTTAATCCTAGCACTCGGGAGGCAGAGGCAGGCGGATCTCTGTGAGTTTGAGGCCAGCCTGGTCTACAGAGTGAGTTCCAGGACAGCCTCCAAAATAATACAGAGAAACCCTGTCTCAAAAAACAAAAACAAAAGCAAAAAACCTGCTCAAGGAAAACTAAAACTCAAAGATAAAGCAAGGGGAGAGGAAGAGAAAAGTTGGAAGATAGTTCAGATTTTACATATGGTTGATAAACTCCAAAATTAATTTTTTAGTTTGGTCACTAATTTAACTCACATAGAATTTTTTGAAGAGCTTTTCATTATGCATTCCAGTTTTATCAGTTTATGCTTGCTGTTCACAGATTATTTTACATTTTAACTAAAGCAAGCTGTCTCTGAATTTAAAAAACAAAAACAAAACACTATTGCCTAGGGCTTTATTAAGCATTCAGGATAGACAGGTTTGGAGATGATTATGTCTAGATCTCCCTGGTTTTTTTCTCAAACAAGTTAATGATTATCACACATACAGCTGTCTAGAATACAGGTTAATAATTACCACACTTAAGCCTGCTAACCTACCCATGACAGTTATCTCTAAACATTTCCTCCTTTTGGAAACTTTGTTGACCATACATACACACTTGTTTCTCCTGAAAAGCTGCTGAGGGTCAGATCAACTTTCTTAGCTTTCTCCCTGAAAAGACTGTACTCATTGGGGCTCCGCTTATCCCGCATGTTTATGCAAATATAAGGGGATCTCAAGACACTGGATGAACAGATCCCTCACGTGTCTTCCCAGGGGAGCCAATACAGTTCCTTATGAATCAGGGATGGGGTATTTTGGCTGGGTTTCTCTATGAAGAGGTTCAATGTCATGGGACATTCCCCTGACACCTCTACACTCGTGAGTGAGCAGAAGCCAAGTGCCTCCTTTTGTTGTTTTTGGTTTTTTGAGACAGGGCTTCTCTGTGTAGCCCAACTGTCTTGGCACTTGCTTTGTAGACCAGGCTGGCCTCGAACCCACAAAGATCTGCCTGCCTTTGCCTCCCAAACCCTGGGATTAAAGGTGCTAGCCACCAAGCCCGTCAACGAAAGCCAAGACAAAACAAAAACCAAAATGCCTTCAGGTTCCAAAAATAAAATACCGGCATAGGCTAAAACAGCCAGAATCTAAGCTGCCTACAGATCTGAAAGCAAGCAAGCGAGCAAGCAAACAAAATCAAATGTCTACACCAAAAGGCTTTCAGAGCAAACAAACCAGATACTGTTAATTCTAGTGGGTGAGAATAAGAGCACTACCACAAATTTTTAGCCACATTTGAAGCAGGCTTTAAAATACTGCTCAGGTTTATACCTGAGATGCCCAGAGCATGGTGCCATTACATTAGTCAGGGGTTTGTAAAGGAAAAATCCACAAGGCTGTGTGTTTCCCATCTTTGTACAATCAGGGGCAAGCATATATCCTGAGGTACTTCCTGCCTGTGTGTGACCAAACACAGCCTGTGCAGTTGGGGCAACCAAACTAGTTTACAGAAGAGAAAACACTTATTTCATTATTTTACACGAACAGCCCCTACCATTCCAGGAAGTTACTGACCTTGGGCAAGTGAGGCTTACAAGTTTAGAGCATTTTTGTTTTATAGATCTAGGTTTACTGAAATGACTTACAGGCTGCAGTGCAATCCAACAATTGCTAGCTGTGATCAGAAAGCCCGAGAATCCAGTGGTTGCTCAGTCCCACGAGGTTGCGTGTCTCAGCTGGTCCTCTGTAATCCCAAAGAAGTAGGTCCTAGTGGATGTTCTAGCAAGGTGGCCACCATCGGGCAGAAGAACAAACCAGAAGAACAAACCCTTCTTCCATTGCCCTTATATAGGCTTCCAACAGAAGGTGTGGTCCACATTAAAGGTGTGTCTTCACATCTCAAGATCTGGATTGAAGACGTTTTGTGTCTTCCGGTCTCAAGACCCGGATCACAGGTGTATCGTCCGTTTCTGGACTGTGGTTCATTCCAGATATAGTCAAGTTGACAACCAAGAACAGCCGCACAGCACTGTCTGTAAACTGTACTAAAATCCACTCTGCAGAAAAAAGTGGCTAATGGATGTCCGTGAAATAGCTGAGTAGACTCACACCTTTGAGGGTTAGCAAAAGATGTGGCTTTGGGTTAAAAAGTGTGAACACTTTTTCCTGACCAGAGGGCTGGCTATATAGGCTGGTCAGAGCTAGTAACAGAACAGTGATATTCACCTTTAGGTCTCCACCTAGAAGTCAACCAAAGGGAATTTAAAATCTTGAGTGTGTGTCTCACAGCAATCAGTACCTACTAGCTTATCAGAACTCCATTAATCAGTGTTAAAACTCTGAACCTTTGAAATCTCAACAAGAGCGCAGAAGAGGAAAGGAATCTGAAACATTTCTTGTTTTCACATACCTTAAATCACTCCCTTAGACCTTCAGAACTTGCTTAAGCTTTCACATCCTCGGGAATTAATTTCTTAGACCCTTGTGACTTATGTAAGCTAAACCTTTTCTTTCTAACAATTTACCATAAGATACAAGTGGTTTGCCGGGCATTGGTGGCACACGCCTTTAATCCCAGCACTCGGGAGGCAGAGGCAGGTGGATCTCTGTGAGTTCGAGGCCAGCCTGGTCTACAGAGCGAGTTCCAGGACAGCCTCCAAAGCCATAGAGAAACCCTGTCTCGAAAAACAAAACAAAAAAAAAAAAAAAAAAAAGATACAAGTGGTTGAATACCAATAGTAGTCACTGCAAATCAAGTTCCTTTAATAAAAGAATAGTAAAAAGTTAAACCTGAAACCTGTTATCTTTTACATGAAACCTACTAGGGAGACAAATCTGCCTTCCTTTCTCAGCAGGAGGCCTAATAGCTCTAGGAAAAGCAAGGCCTGAAATGAATTAACTAGGTAGCTGCAGACTTTGTTGATACCCTAGCTTTTCCCTGGTCCTGGTCCTGCTCCCGACTCCTCTCCTTCTTTGGCCGCGTGGTTTCTCCTCAGAACCCACCTGTCACTCTCCTGGGCCTGGGCCTTCTCCGTAGGAAACCTTTCCTGGTTGCTGGGCCTCTCTAATCCTCAGGTTCTCTCCTCATCCCGGGATCGCTCTTCTCCTCGACCTTCGACCTTCCCTCGTCCCTGGATCTATCTTTGACAGGTGCTCCTGGCTGGCAGCTCAAAGGCTGTCAAAGGTCGCATGGCTACATCATCATGCATGCATTAAGTGGCTGCATGAGGACTCTACATGAAGAAACCACGAAGCGCTGGGGCCACTTGGAACTGGGCCAACTGCAGCTTCATGACTCGGGCTTCAACAGACCCAGCTGCTGAGCCTCATTGTAAACCGCTCCTTTTCCCTTTTTAAGCAAGCGCCTCCTGCCTGTTCTCTCTCTTTCCATTTCTGCTCCCAATCGGTTAACACCTATCCCTCCCTTCGCTCCCTTTCCCAACAAACTCCGTGTGGGTTTGTTGAGTTTGACGGATGTCTTTCGTTGCCTGAAGCTACAGCAAAGAACACCAGCCTTGGGAAGGAGCTGGTTGCCTGCTGCTGTCAGACTAGCAAAGCTCCAATTAGCCATCAACACCGTCCGATTTCTGAGGAAAAGTTACAGCAGTAAGTATGAACCCAACGGCCTCTGCGTCAACTAAAATGACAAAGACTTAGCAGCTATGTGGACAATGACCCTAGTAGGCTCATGTACTCCCGATGGCTTCGCTGTGCAGCAGAGTTGGTAGGTCTTGGGCTATCACATAGGACAGCATTGCATCTTCAACTGTTGCACGGATAGCCTTTGGCTGCCAGATCCAGAAAGTCTGAGAGATCTTCCTGCGGATGAGGAACTTGGCCTGCCTTGACTTCGGAAGAGTAGGGCAGTCAACCCAACAGTATCCACAGTTTGTGCAGGGCCCTGGCAGCAGGTGAGGCATGGAGTTCTCCCCAGTGGTTAGCATCACCACAATCCAGGTCTGGGTCCCATGTATCTTCTTTGGAGATGTTAGCTTTTTCCATGAAAGATTTTAAATGCCATAGTCAACAGATCTCTGGAAAGTTTTGAGTGCCATCTATTAAGCACACCTGATTTTAAATAAATTTTACATGTTTTTAGTTAATTTGCTTTAGGTTTAACCTTGAA